CTCTCCCCTCCTCCGCAAGCTGGGAACAGATTGGAGGGTCCCCACCCCCACTGACTGCTGACAGCCCCTCAGAGAGAGGCTGGACACTTGTTACCTGTCGCAAAAGACCCACAGACCAGCAGCCTCTCTAGAAAGCGCCATAGAGCGAGGCCCTGCCTGGGATGCATATCTACTACTGAAATGAGGGAGGGGGGTTGCCCTGTGACCCTGTGGGGCCTGAAGCAGCACCCTGTGATGACCTGCGTCCATTCCTGCAGTGCAGCCTGGGGAGGGGGTACCCCAAGACAGTGGGGCCCTGAGGCGGCCTGTGACAAGATGTGCCTGCTCTTGCAGGTGTTCGGTGTCCTGGAGCGTGCCAAGGAGAAGTACGGTGTGGGCGACTACTCGGTGAGCCAGATCTCGCTGGAGCAAGTCTTCCTGAGCTTCGCACACCTGCAGCCACCAGCCGAGGATGAGGGCCAGTGAGGGGCAGCGGGTGGGTGGTCACCCACTGCCCAGCCTCTCCCGTCACCCTGCACCTCCCGTCGACCAATTTTCTACGACAGAGATAAAGCCATGGAGGCAGTGTCTACAGTGGGAGCTATGGAAAGGGGGTGGCCAGCAGAGACACATCGTCCACCCAGAGGCTGGATTTTTCTACCCAGTGGTCTCCACGTCCACAGAGCCCTGCACTCTCCCCCAGGGGGGACGGGCTCAGACAGGCTTCTGCTGCACCTAGGGCTCAAGGGCGTGGGCCTCTCCACAGACTGCCCAGCCCCTGCCGGGCGTCAATCAGGAGAATCTTCAGGAACTGTGACCATCATGGTGAGAGCAGGGGTCCCCTGTCCCCCCACAGGACGCTGGCCGAGCAAATCAGAGGGACCACAATGGGGACTTTTGGGTCAGCTTTGTGGACATACTCACACACACATGCATACCATGGAAGTGAAGGGCGAGATGGAGGCCAGGCACACCTGTTACACTCACATTCACACTCTCCACGCACCGTGTACTCATTCTTACACTGACATCATGCACTCACACACACTGATTCTCACGTTGACAGATGCATGCACATACCCACTCACGTACATCGTTCTCACATTTAACACAGACACATGCATTCTCATACTCACACACACACACCCTCACGGAGGGAGTCCGCACACACCAGGGCATTCTCCAGGAACCTTCCTGCCCCATGACCCGAAAGGGAGGCTGAGGTTGGGAAACGCAGTGGAAGGACTGAGCCCGCCCCACTTAGGTAGCCTGCCTGCAGGACTCAGCGCCCCACGCTGCAGAGCCACAAAAACACTAGTGAAAAGGCTGCTCAGAAAAAGGGCCCACTGACAGAGGGGCGGGGGTCACTGGAGGACTCCACTCCCCAGGGAACCCGAGGGGGGGGACTGGAGGAGCCTCAACACCTGCTCCCTTCTGATCATCCAGCCCCGTCTCTTCCTTCCTTCCGGGGTTCTCTCAGACTTCGTGATTCAAATCTCTGTGCCTTTGACGCCCCCTTGGCGTTTGGGACAAAAGCTCCGATCAGCATCTTATCAGTCCCTTCAAGTTGACCAACGCGGCGCAGCATGTGCCTCCAGGCTCTCGCTGTCCACTTCCATGCTACAAACAGTAAATGCAGGGATGTGGGGCCCAAACACCCCCAGGCTTGCACTCCCAGTGCCACTGTCACACTTAAATACCTGGGGCGGGGGCGGTGCTTTTGCAAAGTTAGATTTTCGCACAGATTTGGAGGCTGGAAGTCTGAACTCAGCGCCAGTGGAGGGTGCTCTCTGCAGCCTCGCCAGCTTCTGGTTCCTGGTTCCTTGGCCATCTCCGTGTCTCTCGGCATCCCTTCTCCCCCATGTCTACATGCTAGCTTGTGTTTGCCATACTGCCCCCCCCCCACCCCATGTACTGTGTAGCAGGACCACAGAAGTAACACACATGCACAGCACACAGGAAACTGATGCACAAAGGGGTTGCAAATGTGCAGTTTTGCAAAAATAAATGTGTAACCTGTTCTTTTCCTAAAAGACAGCACCCTCTTTTTACAAATCCAAAGGGATCCATCCAAGACTCATCCTTACACTAATCCTGCATCAGGAGAGGCTGGGATCTGACAACACGTTTGGGGGACAGCCCAACCGAGCCATTCCACACAGGCAGTTCTCTGCCCATAGGCTGGAGCACACTGGGTCAGAATCAACTGGATGGCAGTGGATTCGGGGTTGTGTGTTTCAACAGCAGTAATGATTTCCTTAAACTAAACCCCAAACTCACTGCCGTCAAGGTGAATGTGGACTCAGGTGGCTTCTCTTTCCTGGCACCCCTGCTTACTAGTTTACATCCAATCTACCTACGCCAATCCTGTGCCATTTACATGCCAGCTCTTTCCCAAATGGGTTGGAGGTTGGGAGTTACCGTTTCTGGGGCACACAATCCCACACGTCACACCACCCAAAAGGTTTCTCCGGGGCTACTGGCCTCGCCTGCCCAGTGGGCTTGGGTGCCGGCGGCGCTTCTGTTCAGCAGCCTCCCATGGGTGCTCTCAGAGCGGCTGCACAAGCTGCTGAGGCAGGGGGTGGGGTTTGCGGGTGGTGGGTGGTGAGAGAACGGACAGGGCGAATGCACGCCCCCCCGCAAGCAGGAAGAGACACCCAGCAGGCCTCTAAAGTGGACGGAGGCAGGCCCTCCTGCGCCAGAGAAGGACCGGGCCACGCGGGCGGTCAGGGCTGGGGGCCGCCACGTGCTGGGGGCGCCGTGGTCCCTGAGGTCGGTCCCGGGCATTGATTGCTCTGCGGGTCTGAGAAGCTGCTGGAAGCTCGCACCGAAGGACTTACGGAGTGTGTGTCGGGGGTGGGGGAGGACATGGAGGCTGGAAAGGAATCTCACTTGAGCCACAGCGGACAACTCGCCTTCACATCAGGAGCTCTGGTGGCACAGCGGCTAAAGCGCTCAGCTGCTAACCCAAACTCAGCGGTCTGAATCCGCTGGCTGCTCCGTAAAGATGGACAGCTGGAGACACGAGGTGCTTCAATTCTATAGGGTCGCAAGAAATCAACAAAGGCGGGAGGACAGCGGATTCCGGTTGGGTCAACCTGGACAGTGCCCTCCACCAGGACGTCCACCTCCACAGGGCTGGGGGAGGGGAAGTACGCCCACTCTAGCGCAGGCGCCTGCAGTGGTGCACTGGGACCAAACGCCGCCCACCCCCACCCCCTCTCAGCAGAAGCCTACGGACAGGAGCCCCCATCACTACTTCCATAGGTGTGAAGAGAGGTGAGGAGGGGCCCAGGGGGCTGGAGCAGCGCCAGGGGAGGCTGGCCAGAGATCTAGTAGTAGTAGAACCAGCCGCCAGCACGCCCACCCACCCAGTGGCACAGTTTATTTCTCTGCCTCTCAACTTCAAAGTCTTGGGTAACTACCCCGCTTCACCGCCAGCCATCTCAAAGCCACCCCTGGTTCCAGGGACAGGACCAAGCCTGCAATTCTGCCCAGCTCCTTGGCCACACTTGGGTAGACAGGCTGGGCACCCCAGGACCACCCAGCACACCCAAGCGCAGTGCAGAGGGAGTGCCAACTTCCTAAAGAACACCTCCCACACACACCCCATGCCAACCCCACTCCATGCCGCCCAGGAAGCCCTGGGACCCCACAGATCAGCAGTTAAGTTGCTGCCCCACTGTATCCTTGGCATTCTGGGGTCAATGCCAAGCCCAATCTTTAATTCCGGTCTCCAGATCAGGCATCCCCTCACTTCCTCCCACCTCCGCCTGGAAAACTCAGAGGTGAGGCTTGGTATGGATGGGGGGCGGGGGCTGTGTACTGGACCACTCTCCATTTGTCCCTTGACAAGGTGAGGCCAAAGGTCCCCAGGCAGCGAAACCTGATGCTGGCCAAAGACCTGGGGTTCCCAAAGCCCCTGCTCTACTGCCTGGCTCTCCAGTCCACTGGGGGCCAGAAGAGTACAGATCCTGGCCCCACAAAAAGCCTCCCTGCAGAGGGCTCCACACCCCTGCAAGGGTCTTGGTGTGTGGGGGTGGCCTAGTGCAGAAGCTGAGATGTTTGTTCCACATTGAAGACTGTTCCTGGAGGGCTGCTAGGCTCAGCCTTCCCACAAGCATCCCTACCCTCCCACGCAGGTCACTGGAAGACCTGCCTGAGGGGGACCTGGGGGGCCTCAGGGGCAGAAGCCCCACGTTGCTTCCTCAGCACATGGGGCTGCCCAGGTCCTGCTCTCGGGATCCAGCCTACGCTTCGCCCAGCAGCTGCTCCCAAGCTGACCCGCAGCTATGGCCCCAGGTCAGCTCTGCAGAGTCTGTCGATCCTGGAGGATGAGAGCAAGCTGTATACCGACAAGAGCAGGGCAAATGCTCAGAGTTGCCCTGCTACAGATCGCACTGGGCCATGATTCTCAGGGTTTGGGCAGTTATGTGATGATGCAACCTGGTAGCTATGTAATGAGGTAATCATCCCCCATGATGTGATCTGATGTGATCAGCCAATGAGCTGTAAATGGATTAGAGATCTGAGGTGACCGGGAGACTCAGGTGTGGCTCCAGGTGTGGCTGCCCCACCTGTCATCTTAGAGAAGCACAGGGGGGGCTGACTATTACTATGAAAGAAGAGCCGTGATGTCCCTGTGCTGGGAAACAACTAGACCCAGGGGAAGATGAATGCCAAGATGTATGGAGATTCCCAAGGGAACCAACCCCACAGATGTTAAGAGGAGATAAGGACCTTCCCCCAAAGCTGACAGAGAACTTGCCCCTTGAGTGGGTGCCTAGAGTTTGGACTTCTAGCCTCAACTGTGAGAGAATACATGTATTTGTTAAAATCGTCTATTTGAAAAAATTAAAATTAAAAAAAACTTTTTAAATCACCTATTTGTGATTTTTCTGTTAGAGCAGCACTAAATAAGACACGTCCCAAATCCAGACAGGTGAGCTTCCCCCTTCGCATCCTCCCCCAGGACACTGGCCCAAGCCTGCAAGGGGCCGATGAAGCAGCGCTCCAGGGTCAGGGTGGCTACCAAATGCCCTGCCCCACCCACCCCACCACCAAAGCAGGGGCAGAGACCAATATTTACAGCTCCCCATGGACCCCATGGCCTCAGCAGAGTTGGCATTGGGACTGGAAGAAGGCAAGTTAAGGGGCACCAGGAGGTGGGATCTCCAGGGTTCCCTGAACTGTCTTTCTGAACATATTTCTGTTGGTCCTCAAAATGGTCCAAACCAGGATGCTCACTTCCTGGAGCTCGACAGCAGATGGCACTGTTCACAACAGAAAGGGAATAATTAGAAACAAATTCATTTAAATCCCTAAGTGTCTGGATAAGTCACACTTTTACGTTTAATATAAAACGTGTTAAATTTTATACACATGCAGAAGCAAATTACTTTGGATTGCGGTTTTTTGGTGTGTGTGTGTGTGTGTGTGTGTGTGTGTGTTTTAAGACAAGAGGTGGCCCTGTCTGCTCAGTCATGTTCTGTCCATCAACCTCCTCTTGCCATGCTGGGCTCTTCTGGCCACCCCCTCCCCACTTAGCAGGTCAGTGTGGCCCTGGGCACAGGCTCTAAGTTCTGGACTCATCCCTCAAGCGGTGATGTCAGTCCTGAAGCCCTTTGCCCCCTGCTCTTTTCCCCAACTGATCCTGGGGATGTTTTGAGGAGCAGTAGCTGCTGGTGGTGGGTTGGTTGGGCCGCTAACACTAGGTCAGCAGTTCAAAACCTTGAGCTGCTTTGCCGCAGAAACGGGGCGTCCTGCTTTCGTACAGTCAGTCTTGGAAACTCACAGGGCGAGTTCCACCCTGTCCTACGGCGGTGTCGGCATCGACTCCAGGGCAATGAATTTGGTTTGGGTTGGTGATGGGCTTTTTTGGTGATGGTTTTACAGTTTCTCCTAACACATCTCCTTCCTCAATTGAATACAACAAAAAATACAAGGTAGGATGGAGACCACCTGTGCCCCTCAAGGGAGGTGACTTCAGTTCTCAAGAAGGCTTGGCCACACCTCGGCAGATGCCTCCCTGGGCAGTGGCTGGGGTGGGGCAATGGAGGGCAGGCTCTCCCAGCTAGGACCTGCCATCCCTGAACCTGACTGACCTAGGGCCCTTTCTACCACTGCATCCTCACAGATCCACACACCACTGCCTGCCTGGGCCACCAAGCCCAGCCCAACCTCCCCACCCCAGCTGGTATGTACGTTTCAGGAACCCTTTATGCTGGCCTTGGCAGAAGATGGGAGATGACACCATGAAGGTCCCCTGTCCCTGTGAACCCCACATCCAATCTAGCACTCGCACCCAGGTTGACTACCTACCCTCAGTGGAGCAGCCTCATCTCCAGTGCCTTTGCCTTCTAACACCTGATACCACATGCCTGGAGAACTTGACACTCTGTAAGGCATCCTAGTGGCACTGTGGGTTAAGTGCTGGACTGCTCACTGTAAGGTTGCCAGTTCAAACCCACCAAATGCTCCCCAGGAAGAAAGATGAAACGGGTAAAGATTTACAGCCTCGAAAACTCCACACAGGGTTGCTGTGAGTCAGAATCGACTCAATGGTACTGGATGGGTAACAATTTGAATGAGGACAGATGGGCCATAGCAGGGGATGGAATCAATCACCAAGCTGCCTGGAAAAAACTACACACACCTCATCCACAGTATACGCCTGTCTGTCCCAGGTCTGCAAGCTTCACCTGGGATACTTTCCTGCCCTTCTCCACACTCCATTTAATCAGTGGCCACGTATCTGCTCTCTTCTTCCTTGCCACTTGTCAGGGTAGCCCGCCCCTAACAAATCACAGGCCCAGTGGGTGCAACTGTACAGTGATAATATATAAAGATTACAGTAAAGTCACAGAGAATGAGAGATAGGAGAGAAAGTAAAATGAAGGGGTCAGACACATTTCATGGTAGCATGTTCACCTCAGCCCGGCTTGGTGGTCTACGTGGAGATGTGGAAGGTGGAAATGACAAGAGAGGGAGTGATTTATTTCTAACCAAGGCTTATATATCTTTTGGGGGCGTGCAAGCCCCCTGATTACAGGTAAAGACATATGTCACAGGAAGGGGTTGTACTATAAATACAGTAATGAGAGGAGGAAATCAAAGGGTATACATGCAATATGAAGGGGAGGGATCGGGGGTACACATGTGACAAGATGGGTGGATCCTAGATTCAGGACCTCAGCCTAACTTTGGA